AGAAGTAACTCTGTTCATCTCACATTGTCTTTCTGGTTCCTTGACCTGCCAATAGGGACTATACTTCTATTCTCCATGCTTTTTCTGAATCCTCCTATCTATATTCTTGAATGTAGTGATCTTGGGTTAATGTTCCAGTTTCTAGAGTATGATCTTAAGCAACTAACAATTTTCAAGGAGAACCTCAGTAATGGGTTTGAAGTTGTGAAGCTCACTGATAAGAAGCCAGAGGAACTATGGAATTAAGTCAAATAAGATGATAAGGATAAATGTAAAAACTCACTGTCAAAGATCAAGAAAAAGATGAAAGCAAACCAGGTAGCATAAGCTCTGGTGGAAATTGCCAGAAAGAAAAAGGAAACCAAAGCCAAAGAACACAGAGATTGTAGGAAGAAACATAACAAAGAATTTCACAGAGCTTAAGAGACAAGAAGCAGCATCACAACATCCGTAAAGACATGGAAAAACAAGAAAGGTTTTCCAAAAAATTTCCAAACTCAAAAGAAAGTTTCATCTTCCATCATCTTTTGATATGCTAAAGAAGACAAATGAACAAGTAGAAATTGATTCAAAGAACATCAAAGATGGAATGAGCATACTGAAATTCGGCACAAAAGAGGTGTCCACCCTCAAGGTGTCTTTCAAGATATTCCCTATTTAAAACTTCTCTAGAACTTAAGGAGAAGATGGAGTTACTCTGGCTTTCTGGTCATTACCAAGTTGGAAGTCTATAGGAATTGATAGAATAGCTACAGAAATATGAAAATAATCTGTAATGATTCCAACCAAATTATGGTTGGGGATAATACAGTGGCCAACAGATTGGAAGAATACCAAAGAGAAAGAATTAATAGCAAACAATTGGACACTATCCTTAATTTCCCATGATAGGAAAATAATGCTTAGAATCATCCAATGCAGATTAGAGCTTTACCTGGAAAGGGAGATGCCAGATGTTCAGAAAAGGCAAGATGTTTAATATGGCTTTAGAAAAGGCCAAACAACAAGAAACATTGCAGAGGGACACTGAATAATTGAGAAAGCTAAAAAGAAGACAATAACAGTGTCATTAATTATAGAAAAACCTTTGATAGTGTTGACCATGTCAAACTGTGGAATGCCCTTAGAAAAATGAGAATTCAAGAACATCTAATTATACGCATGTAAGGAAGCCACACATATGTTGCAGATTAACACTTAGTAGGTAGCAATAAACATCTTAGAAATGATATTCTGACGCCATGATGAATAACTGTAGTTAAAAATGATGCATGCAATGCAAGTGGAAGATGGACTTTGAAGAAGCAGGATAGAAAGAGTATGGGTGCCTTTGAACTTTGAGGCAGAGGAAGGCGCCTGAGAATGCCATGTATAGCCAATAGCAATAGCAATAGCAA